TGTGCTTCTTTCACAGCGTCAAGGCAGCAAACCACTGATGAAAGCGTCTGAGTACAGAACTCAGAAAGGCTGCGGTTCAGCTATTCACAGCCTCACTGTGTGGCAGTTTTCTGGCCTGTTCTGATGAATGTTTTCAGCAATTTGAATGTTTGAGGAAAAAGCAATACTAGAATTGAACCTAATACAATTAGGTGGTCATGTGAAACTTAAGAATAGCATAATATATTTTGAAGTTGTGGAGCAAAATACTTAGAGATACTCAACATATCTTTAGCAGGGAGGGATGTCAAAAATACTTCTGAAAATCTGCTGAAAGAATGTTTTGGGGTGTGGACAAGTATGCGTTGGGGGTATGAATTGGGGGTATGAATTGGTGACTATATCGATTACTACAGAAAATAATTTGGGCCTCTTTTTGACTCTCTTTTTGAAGCAAACCGAGCTTCACTTCAGTTGAACCCAGAACATTTATTTAAAGGGGTCCTATTATGCTTTTTCACTTTCAACTTTAGTTAGTCTGTAATGTTGCTGTTTGAGCATAAAAAAGATCTGCAAAGTTCCAAAGTTCAAAATCCACTTCAAAAGGAGATATTTTATTTAACAGAAATCACTTTTCAAAAACTACAACGAATGACTCGTTTGGACTACAACACATATTTTCTGGGATTTGTGATATCACAAATATTGACGAATGGGACGAGACCTGGTTGAGCTGCACTAGAGAAGTCAACGAGTGTTATCACTATGTCAGAGACACGCTAGTTTTCCCAAGTCAGACGAACTTAGAGTGGTTACAATCATCCGGGTTTAAATCGCGCTCAAATGTATTTTATTTTGACGCAATATTTACACTGAAGCTCGCAGGCGGCTATGGTAAGGGGCATGACATTTACCGACCAGGCGCCGAGTGGTGCCAATCACGACACACACTGGCCCAGCTAACCAACCACAGCATATTTCGTAGTTCAGAAGGCGGGCTTTCATTTGATACAGGAACTATTCGAGCTGTTCATGCCAGACTGGGGAGAGAGGTGTTGAACAAGTCGCTGAATTTGTCCGCACACTGAAAAAATGTTTAAATCAGACCAAAAAAGGTCTCTCAAAAATGTAGTTTTTATTTTCCATATGCAAAAGTGAAAAAAGTGACAAAGGTGCAAAGTGTTTTAAAAAACAGACCAGAGAGCAAACGTTTCAGCCCATGCTTTCTTCAGTGCTCATGAGGCAAAAAAGCAACAACACACTTATAAAGGCACAATTGCAAATTGTGAGAGAGGTGTTGTAATAATGTAAATATGTGAAAAATAATGTGTTTTTTCGAACAACCTCGTATGAGAACCTGTTCTAGTACACCCCCAAAACAAAATCAAGACTTTGTAAAATAGAATAATAGGACCCCATTTAATAGGCTACCAAAGTGTAGAATGGTTCTAATGCAGTTTGTCTGAAATAAATTGACAGCCCAAATTCTTATAATTCATTTACTTTTATCTGACAGTTTTGTGTGTGTGTGTGTGTGTGTGTGTGCTTTTTGCCTATATGCAGATGCATTCCAAATACATTTAACTTTTATTTTATCCCAGTTTCTCATCCAGTGTCTGTCTGGTAGAGATACCTGTTTAGCCTAGAGCCTAAATCCTCTGTCCTGTCCATCATTCTCTCACCTTCATTCTCACTTTCTGCTTCTCCATTGTTACTCTTTCTCTCACGCTCTGACAGCGGCTATCAATGAGCAACCCCTGGTTAAACCCCAGCCTCCCTGATGAGGTGCGCACTTGTTTGCTTATCCTTTGCTAAGCGGCTTGAGTTTTAGGACACAACATGAATAGAACGATGGTTGCTGCATTGTTATTGAGGGAGTGAGCAGAGAGTGTTTGGCCGCTGAGTTTTGGCATGTTCCTCGCATTGTGTTAGCCAGGGTATTGGGAGCTTACGCGGACTGAATGCATTATGCCTAAGTCATTAGCAGCGCTAGCCCTTGCTATGCAGGGGCATAAGACAAGCCTCGACAACGCTAATGCCTTATCTCACTTGCCACCGCAGCATTTATTGAGAGCGAAACATAAATTATTGTACATTATTAATATATTTCAAAGGCCTGAATGTCAATGGTACCGTGCCTCTTATGGCGCTTTTCCACTGCGTCGTACGACTCGGCTCGGTACGGCTCAGTCCGGCACGGCACGGTTCGGCTCGGCACGGTTCGTGTTTCCACTGCAGTTCAGTACCGCTTTAGAGTGGGCGGGATTATTCACATGTCATTATAGTTGCGCCGCCTCTACTACCATGACTCCTAAAAAAACGTTTTCATTCCGCGTAGCCCCATCAAGATCTCGCTGGATCCGCTCCTCTGCTATCTACGAGAGAAACGTCTGTTCTTCCGCAACAGACAACAAAACTTTTTGGTTGTTAAAAAAAAGGTGCGCTCGTTCAAAACAGTTGCGTTTGATCCTTCGCTGGCTGTGCTGATTTAAATCTAGCGGTTCTTTAGTGTTTGTGTCGCAAGTTCAGTGACGCAGGTAGTGACGATTCTCTCCGGCCCATCCGTGATCAGCAGAGTTTAAACGTCACGTTTTGGTAACGGTACGGTTCACTTGGAACCCCAACCGAGTTGGTACTAAAAAAAGTACCACGTACCAGGTACTGTACCCAGTGGAAAAAAAAAGTGGACAAACTCAAGTATTTACTAATGCCTAAAAGTGTTTGAAACGGGGATATTGACCTTTTTTGACAAAAAAAATCAGCAAAGAGCACATTTCGTGCAGAACTATTAGCTAATTTAATAGCTTGCTTAAGCGTCACAGTCCAAGGCAAGTAAACAATGAACCCGATGACCCATAAGTAGGGCTGACTGACAGCTAGAATTCAAGTACAGTGATTTAGAAGAGAACTACGCTCCTCGATCATCTCTCCAAAGGGCAAACTTGTGAGATCATAGCAGAACTTTTATTTAATGAGAAGATGTAGAGAATTCAGTCCTGATTGCGAATCTAAAGGAGACGTGGTGGGTGGAAGGATTAGATGCTTTTGTAAGTTAGTAAAATTCGATTTAATTCTTCACTGTGCTGTGAAAATATAAACAACTGCATCGAGAGAAAAAAAAAACGGGTATCTGTCAAGGCTCTGAAAGACATCAAGGCCTTGCATTTATTATATCTGTCTGACAGTCTAGAGGGTCAGGGTTTTATTTACAAGATGCAGAGAAAGGTGCCTACATGGATAGCATTTCCTTTTATGTAAAAACCATAGTGTGCTCTTTGGCTGATGTTTTACATGATATTTCAAAAGAATGATAAAAAGCTTAGTGCAGTTATTGCATGGTCCAGTGGGACTAACTGCTAAAGGTACCCAGTCAAACCTTGACCTGCTAGTCTGTGCAGTTTATTGAAGCAGAAATAAATGTGAACAATGAGAACATGTTGTCCTCTAAGGCCAGACTTGGTTGAGTCTGTCTTGGGTGCTGCCTGCGTTTTAAATATAATTTGACAAATCTTCTTGATACAATGTTTTTATACAGTGTTTTTCCTCTCAGTATGTGTGATCTATCTATCTATCCATCCATCCGTCCATCCGTCCGTCCCTTCCTGAAGTATTTGTATTTCTAAAATCATTCTGTTGATTCATAATAATATTAATAAACTGTATGTACCTTTTGTCCAAAGCTCTCTCATAGTCAAATCCATTGACTGTGGTACTGAACATTATTATCTACATCAGTCTAATATTTTGACAGATACACAGAAATATTCCCTTAGAATTGATCTTAATAGTGTGACCACTGTGTTGTAAGGGCCGCAAGAAATCCTATTTCTCACCTGCAAAGTTCATCCTCTTCATGAATTCTCCTTTCAAAAGTTGATGAACTTCTGTTTTCCCATTGTCCTTCAAAAAATGTAATAACTTTTTTTTGAATACTTTTATAAATAATACATAGATTTGCCATAGCAGTAGGATCAACTTTGTATAAAACGATTAGATTAAGAATTCTCATTTCTGGACTTAAAGTATTGAAAGGGGATTATTCTTAAGAATTTGTGCGGTCTTATCCACAGTCTTACTGTACTTACAGGCAAAGAAGTCCCTCTGAGAAGTTTAGTAGAAGTAGAAGTGTTAGAAGTCTGACCTTTTGAAGTACGCCATTGATTGCATTGATTTTAGAGAGTCTGCTCCATGGTAAGTGGAGGGAGAATGGAAGCAAAAATCAAAGCGTTAACGCCTCTTAAGAGTGTGTTGACCATAAAGCGCTGATATACAGAGATGTCGCACTCTGGCCATTTGCACAGCTTCAATGAAATCTGAAAGAAATCCTCCTGAAGCCCTTGAGAAACACTGAGACTAAACTCAAGCTAACTGGCCCTTAAGTCTCCCGCTCTGACTTGCGCGTTGATACAGCTATGGTACATCGGCCGTCAATCCGCACCATGTACCTTTCACACTGTGAAAACAAATGAGCCGGGTCCAATCTGACTGCATTTGTTTGTAGCCTGTTTTTGTGGTTTCTGAGGCTAATTTTGAGTTGATGTGCTCGCAAAGACGCAGGGGACCAGACAAACACAACATTTTTATGCAAGCGCAAGATGGCCATGATAGGTAATTACTGAATTGCTTTAATAGAGAACGGTTGCTGGCAGGCAAGTATGTGCTTGGCAATTGTAAACACCTGTCAAAGTGGCTGTGAGGGAAGACCTAGGTGGCCCACGCCTCCAGAATTTAGACTTCATTAATTGAAACCTGGAGGTTGCTACTTCACATGCTGAGACGGACACCTGCTGCAGGAATGAGACTTTTGAAGGCTCATTAGTTTGCTATACTGAAAATACTGAATACTGCTTGCTATACTGAAAACTGAAAGTGCACACCAGGAGCCTCGAACATCTTAACTACTGCCATACTTCAGTTTGTATAATTAGATACACATATGAGATGTGATGTCACACCGCATGATCTGCTAGGGTAGAAGAATGAATAATAAACTAAGCCAAATATAACCTAATCTCTTGCAGGAGACGAAAACACACCGGGTTGGTTATCTGCAGAGGATGATGGGAAGACAAAAGCTCCGTTTTGGTGTCCACTGTTGGCCTGTCGCATGTCTGTCTTTACCTCCAAAGCCCGGGAATGGAAGGTGAGAGACTTTCAGTTACAAAAAGCATACTTTTTCTGCTTTGAGGTCGAACGGCTAATCAGAAACTTCCCTTAAGCAGAAAAAAAGTTTATAGTTCTTTTCCTGAAGACAAAGTACTTTTAGAAACTGTTGTATACCATGCAATCATTTTTTTAGCTAGGAAATTAAGTCTCGCAGAAGCAACCTCCACAGACAGAGTCTGACCCATGGGATGATCTTACAGGAACATTGCCAGGATTGTGGAATTACAAGGTGACATGGAAACATTCCAGTCACACTAGTAGGAGAGGGAGGTTGTGGATCAATAGGAGCTGTTAAGAACGGCAAGATCCTCGTATATCAAATGGTGAACTCGGGTAAGAGACAGACTAAAATGGCTTCAGAGTCAGTCAAAAAGGAATTAAATCAATTTTACTGTCTGGAAGATGATATTTCGGGCTAGATTTTAAGACCTAACGAAGTTAGGTGACTTACCCCTGAATGGTGAATCTAGGTGCCAAATTACCACAGTCACCATGTGAGGGTGTTATAAAGTGATCATGCAATTACGGTAATGACTGTGGGACACCTGAGAGTAAATCAATAAGGCTGCATTAAATTAGGCTTATTGCAACCCAATAGATGGGAAATCAAGGCTGTTGGTGAAATGGCTAGATCCTTTTCTGCAACAGCTTGGAGCTCTGACAAACAGATCGACGGTATACTTTTTCCACATCATTGCTTTCCACAGCTGCTCAGGAGTTTTTTTTAATTGTGTTAAGCTTTCTCTTGGCTCAAACTCTAGGGTGCCATTGCTTTGTGAAAACCTGCTGCAGTGTTTCAGTCACATTTAACAAGAATTGTTATCTGGGTTGGGGCAAATTGCTTTGTGCTCTCAAAGGCTATGAGCAAAGTTCCTGGAAAACCTAGAAATATTTTTTCTTTTCTAGTTCTACTAATTTTTTTTTTTTTTTTTTACCTATAAACACTTTTTGTGACATCTCTATAAAATTATTTTTAAAAACGTCTTGTCCGGTTTGGGGGAAAATTCCTGGAAGGGTAAGAAATAGAAATTCATCCAAAAGTGTCAGAACCCTGTTTGAAATATTTGAGCACAATCCTGCCACCAAATATGTAAGATCATAATGCCATCTAATGGTAGTATGAATTTGGTCTGGTTATGCATGGGTGTCTTTAGAAATGGCTTTTGTATCTGTCTTGTTGAAAAGCAGCAGTTCCTTGTAGAGGTGAGATTGGTTTAAAGTGCATGACTTTAAGTTCTCCTGGCAGAGACATCTTCTGTTTTACTGTCAGCATATATCCAGCCTTGTTCCTCAACTGCCACTACCTCTGGGCAGCGTGTGTTGGCCAGTGCCAAGGCCTCCAAAACATCTTACTTTTAGGTTTTGGCAGGTGATGCGCTTGGCAGAACATTCATTGGTGCAGGGATTGGAACGGGTGGCAGATCAAAAGATCAAAAGAGAAAAGCCGTTGGGGGACTTGCTCATCTCCAGTAATAAAATAGAAGTTCTGTAGCATCGCACCATGAACAACTGATCTGCACACACAGTTCTGCCATTTTTGTAAAAGCCTGGTGGGTGGACTTGTTAGGCGGAGGAGATAACTGTTATCAGGTCTTTCACTTCTGACGCGGATCAGTGGGGTCTCTCTGTCCCACCCCTAACCAGTCCACTAGGCAATATCTGACCCACTTCTAAGCCTTGCAAAAATCCTGTAATACCGCACAAACAGGCACTCATTGTTCCTGAAATGCAATACTGAGTCAAGACAAGTGCTGTTCAAATGCATATACTTGCATTTATTGAGGCCTAACCTGTATTATAATGTTAAACTTTCCTAGTTTGAACTATGGCCAGTCAGATTATATATCCATCTTCATGTTTCATTTTGTTGACTCTTTAGACATTTATTTTCCCCCTTGCGGATAGTTGAGAGATACCGAGGTAAAGAAAAGGGGTTAATGGGTTTGAAAAACAACACAAGCAAGATTCAAACTTGCATGTGGGTTAGCATGTTCTCTAACTTTAAAGCTGAATTTTTTGCTTTGCAAAGTGTAACTTGCAGGATTGTGTGTTCCTGGAGATTTGTAGTTTGGTTTTATCGTGTTAAAGAAGCCTTAACATGCTAAAAACCCTCCACTAAAAATCTACTTCAGCTGTAAAAGCTGTACGCTAGAAGTGCTGAGAAGCATAAAGATGTCTCGTGGGAAGGAAAAAAAAATTTCCCGATGAAGCATTTAGATGGAGAGAAGATGGCTCTTATTTAAGAGTGTTTTTTAATACCGTGGAGATTCCATACCGGATGCCTTGAAGTGTGGGAAGACAAGCTGGAAAAAGGATTTTTTTTTTTTTGGATGTATCAGGTTTGGCTGTTTTCTTTTTCGGGATTAACACAAAGGGGAAAAAATGGAGGAGAAATGTTTTCTAAATCTCTTTCATAGTACTTAACCACATGTCGTGGTTCTGTCCAATGAAGCGTAATTACTAAAAACTAGGGCCTTTAGCTTATTGTTGTGGATATGTGCCAGTATAACTTCCCTCTACGGATGCCA